CTTTCCTGTGAGGGTGCTGAGGCACTGGAATGGGTTGCCCAGGGAGGTTGTGAATGCTCCATCCCTGGCAGTGTTCAAGACCAGGTTGGATGAGGCCGTGGGTGACATGGTCTAGTGTGAGGCGTCCCTGCCCATGGCAGGGCGTTGGAACTGGATGATCTTAAGGTCCTTTCCAACCCAAACTATTCTGTGATTCTATGAGACTCAGCCAGGATCCCCTAAAATCACATCTTCCTTTCTGGTGCCCCGTGGCTACTACATGAAAAGGAGAGATACCATTGCTCCCATTGCCTTCTGTCTGGCACATTTGGCCCCACATCCCTGGGGAGCCCAGGATTTTAACCTGAGCTAATTTACTCCTGCTGCAGTGAACACAACCACTATATGAGGGGGTGATATATAGAATATATTCTATATATAGAACATGTTCTATGTATTCTATTCTGTATACAGAACATATTCTATAAGACATTCTGGCGCATTAGCCTTGCTGTTGGCCACCCTTCCTGCTTTTCCACCTCCAAACCCAAGCTTCGTAAGGACCTCCAGATGTGCTAACAGCTGGGTACCCCTGAAAACCACTGTGGATCCTGCAATAGCCCAGCCTGCTGAGCCAGCACCCTGGGCAAACCATTCCTAGCATTCAGCAGATCCCTGCAGAAAGGGTGCTCAAGGACAGGGAATCACAACTACAGCCTGAGACTTCCTTTTATGTAATATGTCTGCAAAATGAAGTCATTTGGACTCCAGGCTGTTTACAGCTGTCACATCTGAAACAGATTTTGCCACTTTGGTGTCAGAAGGCTGGGTCTGCAAACAGAGACATAACATAACAATCCCTAATGGCAGTGAGGCAAATCATGTGTAAATTGAGCCATAGTGTCTCTGGTTGTGTGACATTCATTTAATTCTCTTACTGCCACGCTTAGGCAGAAACACTCCCTACCTAGCTAGTGATCATGGAGGGGGGGGGAGGTAATAAGCATATAACAAGGATCCCCAGAAACAAGTAATGCTGGGCTTTTGAAAGGACTGTGCTTTGGAGCATTTGCATTTCAATGCGATGGAAAGCTTAGTTTCTCAACTGTGCCTTGCCAAACTCTCAGGAACACCCTTTTCTTTCTATTTGATTAATCATTTCATGCTTAGAGTCTTTGAAAATACTGCTACTTCTAGCAAGCGGATAAATGCGCATCTCTGCAGATAAATGCCTTAAGGCTCTGCTCTGTGTTGCTCTTTTCCTCTTTTAGCTACTCCAACTCCTAAATCAGCAAATGCACAGCACAGATTTTCTGCCTGGGTAAGAAGAGTTAGTGGATTTGAAAGACTAAAGCAATGCTGCAGGTTACCCTGCTTCAAGCAGGGCTGGGAAAGTGCAAAAGCCGATGTAATGAAAAGGTGAGTTATTCCAAGTGTGCACCATGATTAAAACTCAGCCAATTAAAGTTCTGCTTCAATATAAACCCTGAGTGTTTCCAAATGTACGAAACAGTTGACACCAGCATGACATCTGCCCTTTCCCTGCAGCTCTCCAGATGGAAAAGAGATCTACCTGCCGTCTCTGTGCTGCTTTGTAGCAAAGGAGTTTAGACTGAGCTAAGTTAGATTTACCAAGAAAGTCTTTAGCCCTAGCACAGGTCCTAAACATGGACCTGTTTCACTTCACACCTCCTTAAGCTGCTTTGTAACATATAAAAACGCTCTATGAGTTCAGACTGTCTTGTCCTGGATCTGTCTCTGGCAGTGGCAGCAGGAGATGCTACTTAGAATGAGCTTGGCCCCTTTCTGCAGCTCCTTCCCTTGGTACCCACCAAGCATCCATCCACAGCTGCTGAATGTAAGAGACTGAAGTCAAACCCGTGCCCAGGCAATTTATCAAGCTGCTGTGCATGAGTTTTTAGAACTCCCTTTAAAAGCTGCTGGCTCACCACCTGCATCACTTTGCAAACCCCTCCCATACTGCAGCTCAGCTTCCTCATCTCCAAATTGAAGAGTCATGGCCACAGAAAGCAGCTTTTCCATCCCTGTTTCAGAATGATACCTTCTCCAGTTATACGATGGTCTCCACAGGATTAATTTTAGTTCATTACAGGACTACATATAATAAATGAGATGGGTCAAAGAGCAATTTGGGCAAATCTGCTGCCAAGGGGACCAAGCACCACAAGAACTAAGCTGGTGGACCCTCAGTGCAGACAGCTAGAAGATCAAGGAAACCAGCTCAGGTCCCAAATGCAATAGTTTCTGTGACCCAACACTGTTTTTGCACATGAAGGATCTCCTTTCCCAGCACCATGAAGCCCTCCAGACACCTTTCTGCTACACTGTTCTTCTCAATCCCAGACACGGTTTTGTCCTGCTCATTGCCTATAGTCCTATGCTGCATTGCTCTGGGTGGACATGCCCACCATGAAGGCTGGAGCATCAATCTCTTCCCCTCAAACTGAGGAGAAGTGCAGTGGCACAAACAACAGGCAGCTTTAAAAGTGACTGATGCTTCTTTTGAACCTCAAGGGAAGTTGAAACCTGGTTCAAATTCCATTTTAAGTGATCACTCTTCATTCCTAGGACTCGCATCCATCAATGTCATAGGCAGTGGGTACTGTATTATGTATGTATTTCATGAGTGACTGCAGGATCAAGAAGTGTGAAATACTTTCTGTGCTCACTTCTGTACATATAAAACTAGTAATCAGGAAAAATATAGGTTGGACAAGCAAAAAATCCAAAGCTTTATTAAATACCAAGTGCTAAAGCAGCCTTGAAAACAAAGAAAAGGGAATAAATACACCAAATTGCAAACCAAAACTAATGTTTTAGCCTGGGAGAGGGCGAAAGGAACCAGCCTGTGTTTTGAGAGATGAACCCTTCATTCCTGCTCTGTACTGTTTTGGTGACCTCCACACGCTGTGACAAAGGCTATTCTCACACTTCTATTAACCAGATTAACTCACAAATCTGCATAAATGCTCATTGTGAAGCCCACAGGAACTGCTGGAGTTCCTCAAGGAACCCTCTGGGATGTCAGATATCCCTTTGGGCACCACCATGTGAGCAGCAGTGCCCCTGCCTGCAGTACCCAAGGAGCTGGGCAGAGCAAGATCTCCTGTAGGAAGAAGAGGCCTTTCAACTGAAACACCATGAAGCAAACTGCTACTCCATCCCATTTCCTTCCCCAGCAGTCTCCCTGCAGATCTTCACCATGCCGGTGAGGCAAGAGGAGCACACCTTGCAAAATCCCTCTGGCCTTGTTGAGGATCCTTCTACCCTTACATTAAGGGGATTTGAGGCATGTGCTGTCTGTGTACAAGTTCCTGGAGCCCTTGTACCTCCAAGGTGCATTTCTTAGTCTTTTCCGAGTACAATTATACATAGGAATTGTTTGAAAGTCTCACACTTGGAGGGGAATGAGAGAAAACACATGGCAGGTGTTAGTCCTATGGCCTAAAGGCTGCCCAGACATAGGTAGGGTTTGGCATTAAGACCTTCCCCAGGAGGATGAGGAGAAAGACATGAATGTATTCCTCCACCCTGCAGCTCATCCCATGGGAACGTATTTATCTCTGTTCTCCTTGGAGAAGGGAACAGGAGAAACTGGTCCAGCTTGAAGCTTTTTTGTCTTGGGCATCCAAAGAGTTGTGTGCTGCCTTTGGTGTACCATCTCTTTTGTTTTTAAAGAGACCATTGATTCATATCCCAAAAGATATGGAAGGATTTTGGTTTATTTTGAAGCCAGAACTATTTCTCCCTTCACTTTTACTGCTTTGATCTTGGCTGAAATGTATGACTGGAAGAACATCTAATGGAGTACACTGAATAAAGCCCAACCCAAAGGAAAAGCAGTATGTCTTCAGCAGTGTGCATTGGCCACCCTGTTTCAAAGACATCAGATCACTCATACAAGGACCAGTGCTGGAAGACACAATTGCACATAAGCTGTCAGCTGCAAGGAATTAGATATCTGGAGCTGAAACTCCCAGTAAAGCAGTCCTAGCTTTGCAGAGCATGCAAGCGAAAGAGCTGTAATATGTTGTAATCGCAACTGCATTGCAATCCAGTATTATTTTCATAGTAAGCCTGTTTTATAGTGTTTTATGTCCAGGTAAGCTCTAAAGGGCTATTTCTCACAGAGCAGCTGTATCTCACTCTCAGGAAGCCTGTTTAACATCCACACTACAGGTTAATAAATGCCATAGTGTCATTTCCTCCACTTGCTGGTTTTAGCAAATGTCAAAGGGCAACAACATCGTAGCAGAAGCCAAGTGCAGAAAAGGGAAACAGGAGGCACCAATAATCTCAGAGAGGTTTATACATCCTTCATCTAAATTCTTCCAGGTTTACTTCATGTTCATGTTTATTTGGGAGAAAAGCTCTGATTTATTACCACTGACCAACCCCATATTGCACTAAATACCAGCAAGTTGCTGGTGGAAACTACTAGATCGAGATGTCCCTCAATTTTGAGCCCACAGACCATCAGATAGCCTCCCCCTCTTCTAGACTTGTGCAGTAAATGGAGCAGAAAAGTGAGTTTGGTTCAGGTTTTCGGAGATTCGCAGGTCCAACTGGCATTTCACTTTAGAGAGCAGAGCAAACAAAACCCTACCAACAGCAAAACCCCCTTAAACTGCTACTTCAGTAGTATTAAAATGAGATAGACTGAAACTCGTTACAAACCAGAATTCTAAGGTTATCATGGGGTTTGGAACACTTGAACCATCCTTCCTCCCCTATCCTGCGCTTCAGTTACAAAATCAGGAGTAAAAATACCCTAAAACAACAATTAAATAAATAATAATTGTTTTTTATATTTTATTGTTTATTAAATAAACAATAATTTAATAAATAATTAAAAATACCCTAAAAAAAGGCTTTAGAGAGCCGTTGTATCCAAGCCAATGCACTGATACAATTATAGCTGGTAAACACAAACAAGCATGTATTGTGATCATATTTCCAGAGTGAAAATGTGAATGGGCAGAGATGCTGTCAAAACTGTGCTCTTGCCTGATGTATTTTGGGATTGATGCATTTAAGTGACAGAGCATTGCCTAAAACCAGGCCAGTCCTCCACACAGCAGTAGACAGTAGGAGTGAGCAGGCAGCGTATCAGCCCACACCTCTCACCATAGCTGAGCCCACACATCCATGCACCCACCACAAAGGCTTCCATCCTTTTGTAAGGGAATTCTGCATCTCTGGAAGTGTTGCTACACAAGAAAGGCTCTTTTATCCACAGTTTGGAAGCAAAAATCCAAACAAGCTATTCAAATAGCTCAGCTGCACTCCCTGCTCCCACAGTGAAACCCCATACCAGAGCCACTCCTGCTGAGGATCAAAGCCCATGTACCCACCAGCATCAGCTGGTTTTACCTAGGATTTCAGCTAGGATATGAGCAGTGGTTGAACAGTAGCTAATCTGTCAGCAGAGAAGGGAGAGAAAGGCTCTACAGTGATAAATTGGCCCTGAAGTAGGAGGAAGAGCAAGGACATCCCATGAGACCGGTCTACGTATGCACTTCCTTGATCATCCACCCCAGCTATGGGAAAGCAGCACCAAGACAAACGAGCACAACATGATCTTCCACAAGGAATAGCTTCCTGACAGTTTTCCTGCTTGTATGCACTGTCACAGGCTGTGGATGGGCTGCCGTTCAGAGGAGAGGCCAATGATGGATGCTGCCCTGACCTACCAGCAGCAAGGCCACCAAGCTTTGACCCATGTAGGTTCCAATTAGCCAAAATTAGTCAGCTGTGGCCAGGGTTTGGCTTCTTTTAAACACCTAATGGTGTGAAAGCAACAGCCCCTTTCTCCAAGTTGCCCACTCAACCCTTTGTGGCCTTACACCCTTCCCCAGGGAGCCTCCTTCAGTTTTGTTTCTCCCCTTCATGAGCCATGCCAATCATTAAAGAGTCTTAGCAGCCCCATTATCATCCTGGGCAATTCTTAACTCATTAGGCTTTAAAGTTGTTGGACTGCAGGAAAATAAAACCCCAAACCAAGCAAATGCTTGAGCACAACAAAAGGATGTTAATGTTTTACCCCACCGACAATGACTGAATCTGTAGGACAATTATTACGGATATTTCCATGGGTTTAGTGTTACTTTTTTCCTGACATGAGGTCCTTTGGGCAGCATCTAATTAAAAATGGAGGAGTTTAATCTGCAGCCAACCTCAGAGGTCGATTTGAATTCTCCCACTGTGAACTTTCAAACATGGAAGCACGCCTGTTCGCACCTGCGGGATCCAATATCCTGCCTTCACAATGGACTTCCTACATTTTGGCAGGCTGCATGCCTATGCTTGTGCCAGACTGCAGCATAAATAATTCACTACCTGAACTGATCTTTCAGCATGAAACACAAGTAAAGACGACATTAAGTGCTGCTTGGATTCCCCTTCTCTGCCATTCTCCTATTGCGTCTTCAGATTGTGCTTAATCTAGTGGGAATTTAGTTTTAAATTAACACAAAGTCACATTTTAGGAGGTCAAAAGCACATCTAGTGCTGAAGAGAAAGCAGGATTTCCTGCCGAGTTTACCTTTCAGCCCAGCGTTCTAATTTTCATCTGAAACTCTGCATCAGATAAAGATGAGATGCATTTCGATTAGGATGCAGGAGAGGATGGCAGGAATTTCAGATTCCTAATGAGCAGCATATTAACACTTTTCCCCTGGTTGCGTGAAAAGGCAGGACACCTATGGAGGTGAGAGAACGCTGCCCTTTTTGAGAGGAAGAACACCATATTCTAGCAATATTTACAAGTTTTTTCTCTGCATTGCAACAGAAGGAAAACCTCTTCCAGGAGAGAAAGCAGCACCAAAACATGTTTATACAGTTGAAAATTGTCTGAGCCATTTCTCTAGAATCTGGTAACAACCTCACACGCAGTTGCACTGGTTGAGACAAGGAGTTATGGAGCAGGTACTGCGGGATGCTTTCTGCAGTGGCAAAGCTGTTCTTACCAGAGTCTTCAATACCCCAAAGCAACCTAAAAGCTTTGGCAGGTTTCAAACATCTCATGTCGCAACTCTTCCCTTTATCAGGGGCTGGATTTTAAGTTAAAAAGCCCACTCCAAAAAAATCCAACCAACCCAACCAAAACCTGGGAAGTTGAGGAAGATAACCTCAATTCTGATAAAACAGTTGAGTGTTTTGTGGAACATGCAGTTTTTCACAGTCCTATGTGCTTTCTATTTGATGCCTTAATTATTGCATCCCAAAAGCTATTCTAAGGAAGGGAAAACACTTTGCTTTCTGTTCCAAAATAGACCATGTTGCTATTTTGCACTCATCCACGGTTCTGGTACTGTTATCGCATTAACACTTAGAGATCCCAAATAAGGTCAATGCCTTTGTCTGTCAGCCTTTGTACAGTCAAGAGACAGTCCTTGCCCCAAAGACCTTAAAATATAAATAGATAAGACAGACAAAGGGAGAAAGAAAGGGAACATTTCTATCATGTTCACAGATAGGAAACGGGAAGATAAAACGGTTTGCTGGAGGTCAGTGACACAGAGCTGGGGAAAGAACACTCTCAAGTCTCTGTCAAGTGTCTTCAACCATGAAGCTGTCCAAAAAAAAGGCTTGTATTTGCTCCAGTGTTCTGTTCAGGTCCCTGCAGAGAAGCCCAGAAAAGGGAGGAATCACTGCAGACTTTCAGAGATACTTGGTTTTCAAGAGGAGCTTCTGAAAGGGGGACAGGGCAGAAGTTTGAGCGAATCTGAAATCCAAAAGCAGAGACCAGAAATGCCAAGTCTGAACTCAACTAAGAACACACAAATAGAGGACAGCAGTCAGGGCTGGCCCAGCCCCAGAGCTGCTCCTGAGCATCCATGTCAGCAAAGAAATCACTCTCCAAGCAATAAGAGCAAGAAAAATCAGACAGCAGTGGAGAGAAGGAAGGGAGAATGTAACAGCCTAAATTGATCTGCCTTCAGTGTGTCAATGGCAGCACAAGGATAGGGAGAATGTGCCTAGTTGAATTCCACTTGTCCCATAAAGACTGATATATTGAAAAGAGAGTGGGGCCTGTCTTGGGCAGAATTAAAGGAACCGAAGGACTAAGTTCACCACTACTCTCTTCACCTTTATAGAAAGTCACGGAAGTCAGGGAGGGGAAAAGAGACCTTATAGCACATGCCATTCGGCAGAAGAATTTGCACTTCAGCCCCATTTAGTGGCTGGTGCTTGCCCTGTCATCTGAGATTCTCCATCCTTTATTCATTTCTCTCCTTGTGTTGCAAAGGATGTCAGAGAAAGAGCTCTCCCTGACAAGCTTTATGTCCCAACATATCTGGGGGCAGCTGGCTCAGTGATTAACTGTGCACTGTGTGGTGGCTCTTATCCCTGGCTATGACATGCCAAGCAGGTAATGTTAGAAGTCTAATGTTGAAACAGAGTTTAAGAGTCTGTTTAGTTAACCCAGGTTAAGTTCTGCAGTTACTCTGCTTTCTTTGCCTTCCCCCAAGCATAACTGGTCACAGGAATTTACATTTTTGGGGCTTTTATTTGAAGCCTTTGTCTTCGCAGTAGCTGGTGTTAGACCACAGCAGCTGTACATCTGCTGTAAGATAAAGAACCAACAGCAGTGCAGCAAGTTGCATCTATATCACCAGCATCTTTCAACATGGGATTTGTGCTCAGCGTTATCTGCTCTGACCCAGGTCAAGAGGCTTCATTTTGGAGCTGGAGTGCAAGTGAATATCCTGCCCCATGCAGCCAGAAGAGCCCAGCTTGCCTCTGGATTGCTCCTTAGCCCATAACAAGTGGTGCTGGGATTTGACACAGCCTGGGTGAGTGTAAGAGCAAGGTCATGTTTGCATCAGGCTGTGCATTAGAGGAGAGCTTTACAACACCAGCCTGGGGCAGGATTAGCCCCCTGCTGCCACTGTGTCTTCATAGCCCAGAGGGAAGAATAAAAACTGTTATGCCCATCCTGTAAAGCAGGCCTAAGATCTCCAGCAGAAAACAGTTCCCACCAGCAATATGGGGGACAGGTGTTAGCACAGCGATACCCTGACCTATAACTGGGTCTTCAGTTGCTAATGTACCCCAGGAAATCAGGACAGCCTGTATTTTACCCAAACCACTGTCTCTTTCCAGTCCTACAAGCTGTGACCCACCTTGGCTTTGCCATTCAAGTTTCACTTTGGAAACCATCACCCCTCTTCCTTAAACACAGACCTTCTTGAGGACTGAGCACAGACTGTTGCTGTAGGCACTGTGCCCATCCAGAGCTTTTACCAGTGTTTAAGGAAAGCTTGAATTACTGATGGATGGGAGGCACTGGCTCACGGTTGTCTTTGCTGCTGGTGGCTCCATGGCTGTAACTGCCAGTTTATGCAAGCTTTTCAAGGGACACTGCAGAGCTATGGGACCCACTGCTTTTGAAGAGAAAGATCCTTCCCAACATGCATGGGACCAGACCCAACCAAGGCTGAGAAATGAGAAGGGAAGCTAGCACAAAACCATGATCAAAAGCACAGCCTGCCTAAACAGGATTGATGACATGTTGCTTACCATCAATTTGCCCATTCTTAACCCAACTCCTGGAATACTTTGTTGTCTTTTTCCTCACATCTATTACTCTCTCCTCCACACTTCCTACAGACTGTAAAGTCTTCCAATTCCCCCCTCTCATTTTTCTCCCTAAACACACACAGAGCCTGCTGAGCAGGGCGGGGAGCAGAGGCCCCATCTAATTGGAATGGTCATGGAGATAGCTCGTCTCGCAAGAGCAGCGTGCACAGGGCAGCGGGGATGCCACAGCATCCCATCCTGCCTGCAGACCCACACCTGTCCTTTATCACAGCTGGGCTGCCTAGACCTGGAATCTAATCCCAGGGAGGTTATTTTATCTTCAGAGAAAGGCAAACAGGATAGGCACTCATCGATCTTGAGAAAGAAACATTAGCCAAGTCAAACACACGCCGGGGTCTGAAGCAACAGGATGTCCGTGATGTAATGCCTGGATTCACCTTGGCATCTCCTTTTACACTAAGGACAGACTTGGAGGGAAAATGAAGGGATGTGAGCATGGGACAAAGAAAATCTGCAGAGATCATTGACCAAACGTGTTCTAAATCAGTGCTGGTTCCCCACAACAGCAAGCAAGTTCAGGCTTACTACTGGCAACCATCACACACAACACCATTAGACACATGAATCTACCATCATCTATGTTATATGTCCACTCGAAGTGGGTCCCAACCTACGATGAGTGTTGTCTTCTACTGCCTTGAGCAATACAGCCATCCACCAGAATGCCTTTGCAGGGCCCACTGCAAAAAGGTTTTCCTCATTTATTCTATGGTAGTGTCCCTGGTGAGATGGAGATCTGCCTGGGAGAAGAGCCCGCTCATCTCCAGCTGCAACCAGCCATGACTCAGCGTGAGCCGAGACAAAGGCACCTTGGCAGGAGATGGGAACAGTGGGACATCAGCTTCCCCTCACATCACACATGATTGTGTGCTAGAACGGATGTAGAGATTCCTGCAGAGAAGCTCCCGCTGGCAAACCTACCTTTATCCAAGGCTATGAGACTGTATTTTTAGTTATTGGCTCAGACCCTCTCACTTCTGGCCAAAGAGCATGTAGGAGGCAAACCAGAAAAGCAGTTGTAAGCACCCTCACGCTGTCCCTTTCTGGAGCCAGCTGACAGTTGTCCCAGATAGCCAAGCTCAGAGCAGCAGTAGGATGACACTGGGACAGTGAGAAACAAACAGCTCCAGGCTCAGCCAAAAGGCCATCTCTCAGAAGCAGAGAAGCTGCTTTACCCTTAATTATAGAGATTAGATAGGTACAGCACAGAATAACCTTTAAGCTATAGACTCTGGAGGCCAAGACTAGATCTCACAACACATGGTGGCTGGAACCCTTGAGCCAATGAAACTGGCGTGACTGCAAGCACCAGCACGCAGAGGTCTGGTTTGCAGTCATGGACTATCCAGTGATCTCCATCAGGATTACACTGGCCTGAATTTACTTCTGTCACTGATGAAGGTTCACACTGTCTCTACACCTTCACTAAAACAGTCCCCTGGCAAAACAGACACCAAAAGAGCCACCACTCCTCTGAAAAACAGCTGCCAAGGGGCAAACAAAGCTCCAGCGAGCATAGTCAAAAGCAAGGCTCTGAAGTCAAGGTCATGCCAGGCCTCTAGCAAGAGCTCCAGCATTTTGAAGTGTCTGGTACTTTCCAGGTCTAACTGGCACAGATGGTAGCAGGAGGAACCATAGTCCTTCCCTGCAGCCAGTTTCTGTCCCCAGAGAAAAGGGAAGAACAGAAACATAATTAAAAAGCATTGGGGAGAACTTAATGGAAAGTCTGCAGAATGGGTGGTGGCTCTCTTTGAGCTGAACGTCAAAGTTCTGTTTGATCTACTCATTTACCAGAGCTAGTTCAGGGAGCTGACTGCTGGCATGGACCTCAAAAGTCTATTTCCTTGCCAGTATTCCCAGGCTTGTATTACCTTCTTGAACAATAACACACTAAAATTGGACCTTTGTTAATGCTGAATTGCACAGTAATTCACAAAAGAGAGCAAACAGACTTAATCTGACCATTCAGGTGTTGATTAAAATGAACACCCCTGAGAACACGGTAATAAAGATTCAACACTTCCAGTGCTTGCCATTAGAGACCTGTCTTTCTGTAATGATTTGCCTCATTAAGCCAGGCACCACGGATCTGCCATCCCTACTCAGATGCTTCCCAACACTCAAAACAGTTGCAAGTGGGAGGCAACACTCATCCCATACCTCTGTACCCATTCCCTTTACCCAGACTGTTTCTGGTTAAGAACTTCCAGCAATTACTTTTAATACAAAAAACACAGTGTTTTTCAGCTGATAGGAGATTTGCACATTGCCAGTGGGAAATGAGAGGGTTTTTGCTGAAGGAATGCAGCCAGTAAGTGGGGGGGGCTTCTCATTGCCCACATTTCCTGAAGAAGCAGTTCATATTTCCTTTGGAAGTTTTCATTCTTTCAGTAAAATCTAGTTTGGGTTTGTAAAATACAGTTTGTTTTTCAGCTGGAGGTTTTAGTTGTTTTGGCTGAAGCGATGTGTTGTTACCTCCGGGGCTTTCACAGTTTAATTTTACTCTTTGGAAAAAAAAATATTAAGGAAGTTTGCCTAAATGGGAGCCTTTACCAGAAAAAAAAACCATTAAAAGCTTTGGAGAAACTTTTGCAATTAAAAATTGCTCTTAAACTACACCATGAGTCCTGCTCAGATTTAGTTTTTCTCTATTTTATTTACGTTCTGCACCATGATCCCTAGCAGGAAATTTGACTCAATCCCAACCTCAGACATATTAACAGCCCTTTCTTGAGTGTGCTACCAGAGATTTGTGATTGTCGGCTTTGATTTCACAAACATTTTAGTGATACACCTTTTAAATGGAAGAGTTTCAGAAGTCTCTCGTCAGCATCGGCACCTTCTGAATTCACACGTAACAACTGATTCTGACACTGTTCAAGTTTGATCTCAAAGTGGAACGTGCGACTAAGCAGTTACTGAGAAGCATTATTTAAAAGGAAGGAAAACCAGATTGTTGGCAGTCTTTCTGATTCTAAGCAATAAATAAATCAAAATAGGCCCAATTTGGAAGTCTACAGAAGGTAAAACAATTGACACAAAAGATCCCCACCGCAGAGACACCTCACAGTGATTTTCCATTTCTGACCAGCTCTAGAAGTCATTCAAATCTAGCAGTAAAAAGAAAAGCTTATTTAAGCACACTTGCCCACCTCTGCATCCCAGAGCATCTGAAGACCGCGGCTTCCCAGGCTGGGTGAGCAATCACATGAGTCTGGCCTGACTTAGCACAGCAGGGAGGGAGACAAGTCTTTCCTTTGGTACTTTTGTGTTCTCATAGCCTAAAAAGGGAAAAAAAGATGCAGAATGAACCTACTGATCTGACAGCAGCAAACCTGACACTCTATTCACATGCCACAGTGGAGCCAGCCCAAGCGTAGCACCACAGAGAAAGAGCCAGGAATAATTCCTCATGTTTACTTTCTCTTGGTGTGCGAGGCCTCTACCAGGCTCCTAGCAGAGAAGAGACACCCTGAACACCAAACCTTGGAGCCTTCAAGTTTTCCCTAGCATGGAAAATCCCAGTTTACATTCCCAGCTGAAAGAAACCCCATCACTGTCCCTAGCAAAATCAGTGCTCCCGGCTTCCATAGCTCTAGAGGGAGACCCGATATCAAAATGCAATGGTGATTCCTTTCACAATGGCCTGCTTCAACCCAAAACCAGAGCATCATTAGAAGCCCTGGCATATCCTCAAGTCCCGTAGGGACTACAAAGACTGCTATTATCTGAATAACATCAAAACTTTGGAGGTCTGCAAAGGCTTTAGTGAGGCTCAGCACGGTGCCCTCTTCCACCTTGACAGCTCCACAGAAGACACCTAAGGGGCCTGAGCAATGAAGAAGGTCTGTTGACTACCACCCACCTCCCAGTAGAGCAAAATGGTTCTTCTGCACTACTGAACACAGACAGGTCGGACCACACACCCAGGAGAGCAGCATACATCAACACAAGCCTACTTGGTCCTCCCCCAGGCTATCACTCACTGACTGCTCTGTAGAGAGGGAGGGCAAATACCATGCAATGGCCATTAAAGTTCAGCTTACTGCATCAGCATTTGCTCAAGTGCTCAATCCCTCAACCTTCTAAAGAGGTGAAACACCCCCAGCCTAACCTCCAGCACCATCCCTCTCTCAGGCCATGAGACCCTTCTTTCACAGGGCTAGGGCTCCACTTCCCCCCAGGCACTTCTGCAAGGGCTGGTTGCTCTGAGCTCCTTACTTACTTCATTCTCTCCTCCAGAGTTGCCACAAGATGTTGGTTCTGCCTCTTACAATGGTCCAAAAGACACTTGTTTAGGAGTAATATGCAAGATGGGCTGCAAGCGGTTCAAAAGCTTCCAAAGCCAGCTCCAAGACATTTGCTTCTCATAGAAGATCCACTGCAAACCCACTCCAGAGCAGAGGATGCGGTGGTAGAGGAGAAAAGCCCCTGTGCTAGCTGAGCATCCCAGCAGAGGACCAGCCACTGATCTGTGTAAGGGCTGCAAAACTCAAACCCATCCCCTCTAGCAGGTGGGTTTTAGGGAATGCAATCGCTGCTGGAAATGCGAGCACCTGCTGAGGAGAGATGGTGTTGCTCTTGGGAGGGTCCACAAATTCCCAAGCTCTGTGAAAGTCACTGATTACAGCACTCCAGCCTTCACCAGTGCCACAGCCATACTGGTGTGCCTCTAGGCTATTCTGCAGCTTAGGGACCTGCATTTCTTTCTCTCTTGCACAGCAGAGGCACCAGGCAGGAGCCCTGCAGAAGGTGATAGCACCAATTGCTTTATTCCACCTTTTGTTTTCACTTTCTTTACAGTTATATAGAGCTGAAAAGAGCTCTGAGATACTTGCTCCTAGCAATCACCCTGGTTGCAATGTGGATTGGCTGTGGCTGCACACTGAAGCAGGTGAAGGGTGTCTCATCCAGCAATATCAAGCTGATCCACCTCCACCTGTGTTCTATAACAGTGAAGTGCTTGTTTTACAGCCATGGTGGAATACATGTTGAGACTGACATTAAAAGCCTCCAGAGCCACATGGAACCCTGCTGCACCACAGTGTGGAGATGCTCAGCCAAGGCTGACAGCAGCTCATCCTGCAACAGCAAGGGGGAAGTTTTACTTGTATACCTATATTTGCCCAACAAACGTCCATGCTGCTGTCACAACAAGCTGAGATTTCCCCTTCCCAGCAGCTGGCAATCCCACCTGGAATTAGTGCTGGTGGCTGCGTGGGAACAAGGGAATAAACACGGAAAACTAAATGCTTGCAGTAGGAGGATTGGGCTTTGGTAGGGTCTGCTGCAATATCCAACTCACTCACTGGTGCTGCAAAGGAAGGCAGTGGGTACAAGGGTCCAGGAGGAGCAAAGGGGAATGGATGCCATGCATGAGTGAGGCTGCAGGGAACTGAGGAGCCTCATCCCATCTTCCTGAGTGGCTTTTCCATGGATTTGAGCAGGGGGAAGAATTCTCCACATAGCATTACTTTCTAGTGAGGGTTTTTCACCTGAACCTCTAGCACAGCGCAGAGCATCTCCCTCTCACAAGAAAATGTCTCTATTTTTCTCCCTGAAAATGGTCCTTGAAAGCCCTCAAACTGCCTCTTTTCTGTGATTTGGTTTTGTTCCATTACTCTTCCCACTGGCTCTCTGTCCTGCCCTGCAGACAGTGATCTGTTCGCATCCTCTGCCTCTCCAATTTACTGCTGAAAAAGTGAGGTAGGAAGAGAAAAGCAGAAAAATGAATGATAAAATCACGTTTGAGGAAAACCTGGGAGCAGTTTCCTTTTCCTGGTGTTATTCTTGCCGAAAACATTAAAACTTACATTTTATCATTATATTTTCCCTTTGCAAATTGATTTTCAGCCAGGTCCACTTAAGCTTCTTATAAACATAAGGGGGAACTAAGGCCAGGGTTGGTCAAAAAACCTTTTGTTATCTTGAATCTCCATTGATTATCCATTTTCAAACCAAATCCCCACCCTCACAGACAAGCAGTGCTTTGCAATCTTTTCACTCTATTTTCCTATGATTTTTTTTTTTAAGTGCATTTATTTTGTTGTTCATTTATTTCAGGATTCTCTTTATTTGGCAGGGGCAGAGTCAATCTCACACCTGCAAACCTCAGCTCACAGCCATCCTGCTGACCACAGCCTATGGATAAGCAGAACTCTGGTCTTCAGGAGAGAGCTGCAAGTACTTCCCTAAGCAGCTAAACTCACCTGCTCCAAGCCAGAGGAAACCTGTCAGGTTTATCTTGGTTTATTCTGGCCAGAAGAAAGCCTATAAGGAGGTATGGCAATGGGAGGATGCAGCGAAGGAAGAGCGTTTTCATCCAATGCTTGGATGCTTGGAATGTGGCTCATGAGCTTCAGGGCTGCCCATGGAGTACCAGCCCTCAAGTGCTGCTGGTGCTCTACCCCAGAGCACTGGGGTGTTTGACATGTCAATTATTTACGTGTTCATGCTGTGGGTTAATGCTGACTGACACTAAAACACTGCCTAGATTTAGCTTCATAAATTTTTTATCCCCGCTATGAACTGCAAGTCTTTCTCCAATTTCATTTAAAGGAAAGAGGGTATTGAAAAGCCTACTGAGGAATTCATAAGCAACCAGCTACAACCTCACTTTTCCTCCTAGCCAAATCCCGGGACTTCATTACCATGGCAACGTATCATAATTTTAATTCCCTTCCTGATTGCCACTGCACAGAGCAATACATCTGCTTGCTTTGCTAGGAGCCTGCCGCGCACTGTGCAGCGGGTGTAAGGTACATGGCACTTGCTTCCTGGGGCTCATAAGGGACCCAGGAAAAAATGCTGTGCCTTTTTGTTGGATGAAACACCCAGAAAAGGTCGATAATATTCAACAAATCCAGGCAGAGCTTCTGGTGCTCTGAGCTTTGGGCATCTCAAACATGCAGGCATAGCCCAGTGCGGTGGGAACCTCTGGAAAGAACAAGTTTTATGTCCTTTGTGGGGCTTTATGTATTATAGCAAGAAGGAAAGGCAGCTGCCATCACTGTAATGAGAAGTGGAAAAGGGATGAGCGGTGTTTATGAAGACACGGGGTTTACAGCAATCACTTTGGGTTTTCTCTTATTTTAACAGTTATCACACTCAAAGGCATGTACAGGATTATCATTTCTATTTGCCTTGTAGCAGATTGCAGGCACTGGATATGCCTTACTCAATTCATCCACTGTACCTGCGTGGCTACAGCATAGTTGCTGAAAACAAACAAAACTCACTTTGCTGCAGCATACAGTGCCTTCTCACCCCCAGCTGCCCTGGGCTGAGCTCTACAGCATTCCCCTCTGCATACAGCCCAGCAAGGATGGAGAAATGCTGTAGGTGTTCCTGTGGGAAATTATATCTATTATATACATTTTTTGTGTGTATATATAATATTTATTATATATATGCATTTATGATGTCCAATTTTGTTGCAGACATCTGGAGAACCACAACTTCTTTAAACACAGAAAAGGCACGGGAGATTCACCTTTCTTCAAGGGCAGGAATGAATGCTCCATTGAAAAGAGTAGAAATCTTAGTAGCCTGTGTGTAACTACAAGCAGCCTTTTCCTCCACATCTAAAGATCCAGCTCTTCCTCTTGCTGAAGGGTTAAATATTCCGAACAGAAACCACAGTGTTTTCCTTCTTTTTCTGTGCTTTTTTTTATTCAGTTATCCTTTCATTATTGTTTTCCTTCATCTAAAATAAAAGTAATCCAAGTAATTATAATCATAAAATGGATGTGAGCAAAACGGGTACTGAGGGGTTTATAAAATACAAATTTCCCTTTTCTGGGAAACACGGTCTCTCCTGCACTTAAACCTTTCAAGCTGTGCCCAGACTCCTAAGGTGGCACGAACCCCACCAGGCTTGTAAGGCCCTGAAGAGGAAATCACTTAAATCTCCAGCCCGCCTCAGCAGATGCAGGAATGGTGAGTGCTTCAGCTCTAGTGTGTGCTTCAGCACTGCCTTTAACAGGGATATGTCCTGCATTGGAGCAGGAAAGGATCATTGTCAAGCATAAATCAGTAAATCTCCAAGAGATGATTAGACAGGGGAAGTTTAGATTGGATATAAGGAAGAAGTTCTTTACTGTGAGGGTGGTGAGGCACTGGAATGGGTTGCCCAGGGAGGTCGTGAATGCTCCATCCCTGGTGATGTTCAAGGCCAGGTTGGACAGAGCCTTGGGTGCCCTGGTTTAGTGTGAGGTGTCCCTGCCCATGGCAGGGGGTTGGAACTGGATGATCTTAAGCTCCTTTCCAACCCAAACCAGTCTGGGATTCTGTTAACACTGGGCACAAAGAGAAATGTCTTTGGTAGGGGGCCAGTTGTACAGCTCAGCTGAACATGATCACACCTCACTGACTGCCACCAGGCTGAGTACCTGACCTGTGTTTGGTAACCCTCACCCAAGCAGGAGTCAACCTCAGCCAACAAAGGACCCCACTTAGTTTTGGGGTTTTCTTTCTTTCCTTTTCTAAACTGTGTTCTGAAAGTGACCCAAGAAAAACCTTCCTTGATGTTCACTAAGCAGCTATCGGCAAAATATCCCCCTGACGTGAAAACAAGGAATCTTTCTTAGAGGCTGAATGTATCCAAATTGCTCCAGCCTGGTCAAGGCCTTTCTTTTTTGTTATTCCTTTATTCATTTTTTAATTGACAACTGCTCTCAACACCAAAGTCAGGCAGAAAGGGGAAGTCCTGCTTCTGGTTTAAGAAAGGAAAACACCAGCAACAGCCTGAGATACCATGTAAACACCAATAGAAATTGAAGGCAGGCTCCTTAACCCTAGAGAAGCTCTTTGCTCCCCTCTGCAGTGGCAGGTCAGCACCTCGCAGCTTGGCTTTAGGTTCTGTCTTTCCTGGTCTGTTTGCCACCTTAGCAGTGGGGTGTGAGCTGCATGGGGGATGGCAGTGTTTGCAAATGAGTTGTCCCAGATCCTCTGCACTGTCTGAAATGGACTGCAGTACATCCCAAATAATGTGTAGGGCCAGTGTAAGGCCAAAACTCTCTCTACAGATCCTTCCAGAGCTGTTCTTTTGCCCAGAAATATCAGTCAAGACTTTTATAAGAAGCCTTTGCTTCACAGCTCCACCTTAGACACCAGCATCCTCAATGGCTAGAAATGTATTCTTATTACTTTACATAAACCCAGCTCATTTCGAAAAGACCCACAGCTTTTGGGCTGAAGAACTTCTAACCATAAAGACCTCCATCTCTGCTGTCTGGAGTAGCCTCACCGTGCAAGCACCAGGAGTTCTCCATGCAAAACTGCAGACATCAGGTAGTGCAGGATGGACACCCAGTGCTCTGCA